AGTAAAGTACAGTTAAGTAAAGTAAATGTAAAATACCGTAAAGTAAAGTAAAGTAAATGGCTCCAAATAACATATAAATAAATTAAAATCTAAACCTAAAATTTTCTCCTCATTTACTCACCGAAAAGTGCACTTGCGACACCTATAAAATGTTTTCTTTTCGTTGCCCTCCTGGCGCACATCTGTGACCAGATCATCACTAGGCTTTATAAGAGGCGGTGGCGAACGCTTAACAGCGGAAATAGTTACTGAGGGTGTAATCATTGTTGCTTGACCCTGTTCGGAGTCTTTTTGTTGTTGATGGTGTTGTTGTGCCATTGCAGCATTCATCATTGTCGCTAGCAATGGTAAACGTATGAAACCGTCGGCTAACTGATCGTTGCCATTATTATTACCACTACTATTATTACTACCGGCGCTAGATTTCGATGGTATTGGCTCTAGTGTTATATCCTCCTTGATGCCATTCAAATGGGTAGAGGTCAAGGCATTAGGTACCACATTTTTATTGTAATCGTTGATAAAGGATAACGAAGCTACCTGATTTGGTGTCATTTCGCCGGATTTCATTAACTTTGGATCGCCATCTTCTTCGGTTACCTTCATTAATGTGATGTATTTATTGTATTTGGTGTAATTACGACGACCCGTTTCGTCGTTCATCAGCACACGTGCATTCTTGTGGCTGGGATCACGTATGGTCTTTAGGCGAATGTGCTTGGTGATATCCCAACGCCAATTGGAACGATATGAACAGAGCGAGCATTCAAACGGTTTCTTATTCAAATGACCGACAATGTGTACGTGAAAACGCGAAGCTGTTGATGCCCAGAAAGAACAGTGCGGACACTTGTATACTTTCTTCAAAGAAGAATTAGCTGCTTCTTCTTCCGGCGTCATCTTTTTCGTTACCTGTAGAGAGTGAAAGTTTCAAATTTCATTTTGTACCTAACACTCAAACCGTTTGCTAGAGCGGCGGTTGAGAGATCGATTTAAATTATGATAAAATAGAAGAACCTTTAACTCACCTCACCATAACCTGGCGCCGTTTCAACACCATAATAGCTATTCTCTTCACAAGTTGCACTGCTAGCGCCGTGTGCGCTGCTACCCGATGATTCTGCGGTATTATTTGTCTGCCCCCTACTATCCGAGCACTGACTTCCTTCACGCTGCCCAGTGTCACCACCAGGCATTTTATTCCAGATGAATACGCGATTCTCCATCGGATGTTGGTCATTAGTGGAGTCAGCACCACCAACACGACCGGCGTTGCTGTCACCAGACATTGAATCGAAAGAGTCATTGCCACATCGGCTAGCCTCGGTACATTGCTTGAGATGATTCAACAGATCTGCAGATGATTTGCAACGATGGCGACAATGCTGGCAACGCGTTGAACCGGTTACACTCAAATTAAGTGCCGAATGCGATTGCCGATCTTCATCATCGGCAAAATCTATTTCCAGGCGATCGTCTGCATCATCTTGCTCTTCCTCAACATCATCTTCGGCGATAGCAGCGAAATTGCATGTTTTGCGGTGGATGATCGACTCTGACAGACACTTGGCCATATGACCACATGGACAGATGAGATTCTCGCTTGGTCCTGCCAACGCGGAGGATTTCAATTTGTCGAAGAAACTGCCACCCGGTGTGGGTTTCTTGTGAAGCAAACTGCGAGAAGCATGGCTGGATGTGGACGCAACGGTGGGAGTTGGTGATAATTGAGCGGCGTCCGATTTCTCGAGTGGCTGCAACATCTCGGAGATTTGCTTATCATTAAAGAATATAGAAGCGATATCGGTAAGGGAGCTACGCGAGGCAGCGAACTCCTTGGGAAGATTCATAATGCTGGGAATCCATAATAAAGGAAAGCATACATTACAAGAGGACCAAAGTATAAGTGAAGCTTAAAATTTCCCTATTTAATTTACACATTTATGTACATTCATATATGTAGATATATATTGCATAAAAAAATCTTGCAGACAGTAGTGTTGCAGAATAGTTATAAAGTGAAGTAATAAAAATAAATTTTAACTCAGTTTCCAATAAAACTCACCTTGGTCCATTATTTTTCGGTATCGGAATGAGATTCGGTATTGGCCGCTTTGCTTTTGGCGTTAGTGATACACTCAAACTTTGATTATGCACTGACGACGTGTCGGAGGAGCCACCTTTCGCAGACAAGTCGGTCGGTTCTTCCTCGTCATATTTGCTGCGTTTGGTGTAAGGCTCTGCGGCTACGAACGCTTCATCGTATTCATCGAGATTGTTATTATTGAAATGATCCTCCAACAAATCAACAGAATCGCTTAGAAAATCTTCACGTAAATCTGTACCACCGACCTTGTTTGGTCGTCGTCCCAGCGACATGCCCGCTGCATGCCCAACCGGTGGCACATGATGATTCATTTCGTGCACCGTCAGCGATTGCTTGATATCGGCTGTAAAATCGCAGGCAGCACACTTGAATGGACCTGCGCCACCATGATTTTTCATATGCCGATCGAGATTCCACTTATAAGGAGTACGAAAATCACACGTGACACATTTGATCATAGGCATGGAGTGATATTTGACGTGTTTGCTGAACCGTGCCTTAATGTGTGTTACATACGAACACTTCTCACAGCGGAAAAATTTTGTCTTACAATGCTCATCTAATTCGTGATCTACCAATTGTGCGCGGAAGAGTGTGGTGAAATCGCAAAGGCTACACTTCAACAGCCTATTCTGGGTGGGCTCATCTACAACGTAGTTCAGTGAAACCCCACTGGAATGCAATGCAGCTGCGGTAGCGGCGTCAGCTCCATGCCCAGACGACACTGAGTCGGTGGGTGATGGTGAAAGCTCAATGATGCGGGTATGTGCCGTAAGTGACTGCTGATGAGCTGGTGGCAATTGAAAAGCTGAAAGATTTCCGCTGCCGTTATTGCTGCTAGAGCCATTTACAGAGGCACTTGCATTGTTGCTGCTGATGCTGCTGGGGGTGGCTGCATTAGCTGGCGATTGACGACGTTGTGCTTCGGATGCAGCCGCTGAAGCAGCAGCTGCTGTTGCTGCCTGCATTTCTTGTTCGTATGCATTCTGTGCTTGTTGACGGGCGTCTAGTTCACGCTCACGCTGGGCCTGTAACTCACGCTCATAAACAACGGCGATAAGGGATTCGCGCTGCAGCTCCAGTTCGCGTTTAACCTGTAGGGTTAAAAAGTTGATTTTATTAGTTTCCTACAGATGATTTTTATTAGTAATTAGTAAGAAAGAATACCAAATATATGTACATAGATGAGTTGGTTTTAACTATGATTATCTATGCAATAGTAGTTGCAATTTGAGGCCCCTTGAGTTATTTAACTTTCAGATCCCCAACCATTTTTATACACGATTTCCCTCTTAAACTCACCTGCTCATAAGTCGGCATTTTCGACACACCTTCACTCATTACGACATTGCCTCCGCTGCTGTCACTCATATCATTCGGTGCAGCGCCCAAACCCACGCTTTGTTCCAACTTTCGCTTGCGTGCCTCCCGACTCATACCGCGCTTGCCACGCGGCTGCCCGTGTCCACCGGCCGCCACACCATCGGTGCAGCCGTGCACCATTTTCATGTGCCGCACCAACTTTTGAAAATGTCGCGACGCATACAGGCACAGCTTGCACTTATTGATGACGATTTTTTCGCCATGAACGTCTCGCAGATGCGTAAGATGGTATCGCGGATTTTGCGTGAAGTAAGTGCAGTAACTGCAGCTGTAATTGCGCTTGATTTTACACTGTGGCAGCCCCTCATCTTTCAGCTCCATTGCCTGCTGATGAGCTACCGCCGAAGCAACCGCATTTTGTTGCTGTTGTGCGGCATTTTGGTGTTGCTGATGCTGTTGTTGTTGTTGTAGGTGATACTGTGCAGCTGCGGCACGATAGCGTTCTAATTGTTCCAGTGCACTAGTTGACAAGTTGGCGGTGCCACTCGATTGCGATTGCTGCTGCTGCAACGGCGAAGGGCTACTATGCTTGTGGTTATTGTTGTTTTTCGTGGAGGCGGCACCCTGATCCAAATACAATTGATTACCACTGACGACGCTGCGCACAATTAGCGTGTCGCCAGAGCGTTGCACCATCGAGGGTAGTTCCATAACTTGATTTTTTTGCAACTGTAATTAAAAGAGAAAATGATAATTAAAAGCTGCACAAAAAGATTCGTTTGCAAAAATATGTACTAAAAATGTCTAACAAATCAGTACACTTCACTAAATTAGACTGCTGCCTGTTTCGTTGTTTTTTGTTCGATTGATCGAAGTTAGATGAATTTCTTTATTCTTCACTAATTTGCGTAATAAAAATTTCTTTGGCCCAAACCTTGGCTCATGCGATCGGTTCGAGTTTCTTTGAGGCAAGTAAATTTTCCATACCACAGTGAATCCAGCTGAGTAGGCGCACATAAACACCGGATAAGTAGATTCCAATTAGATTGGCAGCTGTTGAATGGGGGCAAAGTTTGACGCCGGCGCAAGTGTTTGTTTATTTTTTCGGAGTACTAGTACAATTGAGTAAACAAGTACATATGTAGGTAAGCAAGTGTTTGTGCTGGAATCAGCTGAGTGTTGCTTTTCGAATAACAGTACATTCCAACGACTTGTTTATACCCGAGCGCACTTCTGCACAAGGGTATTATAACTTTGTTCACATAACGGTTGTTTGTAACAGGCAAAACGAATCGAGATAGATATAGACAAATGTATACATAAATGATCAGAATGAAAAGAGAAATCGATTGAGCGGTGACTGTCTGTCCGTCCGTCCGACTGTGCAGACCATAACTCGAGTAAAAATTGAGATATCTTAACGAAACGTTGTACGTGCACTTCTTTCGGGCGTAGGACGGATGGTATTGAAAATAGGCAAAATCGGACAATAACCACGCCTACCTCCCATATAACGGTAATTTTCAGAAATACGAAAACTACTGAAGATTATTCCCTAAAAATTGATATTTACAATAATTTTTAGACGAAAAATAACATTATAAATTTTTGGAAAATGGGCGTGGCCACGCCCACTTATGGTTACATGTCAGTGCTGTGAAACTGTGAAATCATTACAAATTTTAATCATGAAATATTTATGTACAAGTAGGATTTCATTCTTTTTCCTTTGGTCTGGTAGTGTGGCTTATATTTTTTCCAATCTACAATCATTCAAAAAAAATTTGATTTCACACAATAAGGTGGTAAATACCTGAATGAAAAACTGAGAATGCTGAAGTAAACAGAATTCAATACTGAATTAGCTTCCAGATGAATGAACACTTTGCTATGTGTGCATTCTCTAATTCAGTTCCAATCAAATTTTATACACTAAGAAAAATATGTAAGTTTAGATGATGGAATAATGAGGTGTATGAGCTTTAAAACGATATTGACATAGTGTCGCGTATCAATGCACAGCGGCCACGCGGGCTAAGCCATGTCCTACGAATGAATGGTTGTGCTTGGACTCCTCCTCGCATGAAACGCAGCTTGATTCACATGAACATATTGTACAAATTTATAGTTTTGGTTGTTTAAAAACTGAGTGCAAAATGTTCCAAGACAATTAGTATCTATAATTTTTTTTCTTTTAAAGATTGGAAAATCTGCAGAACATGAAATAATCAAGCATAATAACCATCGAATGATAGCAGCTTTTATCATTCAGTCCATGGTTTATCCACATACATAAAATGTCCTTTTTTAAAATACATATGTGCCCATTTTCGCGCGGACACCCTTTATGATCAGTTTTTATTTGTAAAAAAACGATATTTTCATTTCCCAATACCAGGCGCTCATGCATGTGAAGTAACAAGTTTTCTATTTCTACGTACAAAATTGTATACATTTTTAAATTTCCAAAATTCTACTTTGTAAAGTTTAAAGGCTTCTACAAAAAAAATTAATTTAAAAGTTCTACAAACAAATTTATACGTACAGAAAGCTTGCTACTTCATATGTAAAAAAAAAATAAAAAAATAATAAATAAAAATAAAAAATTTACCGCAAGTTTCCTTCAATAACATGCAGTTGGTTTTAAAAAGCCTTGACAGAATATCCAAAGCTGGTACGTACTTCTGGTCATAGGTAATGCTTTACCAAATTGTAGCAGTAGTAGAAAAGCAGAAGTAAAACGACTATTTTCTCCTATAAAGATTTTCTTCTAGTGTCAAGGGCATATTTTTTCAGTGTAATACTGAATGATCAAAACTGTTTGCACTCAACCAAAATTTACAATCACGATGATTGCGAATACTTTTGTTACACATCCTATACTGAATGGAACTCTGCCATTCAATAACACATTACGTTTGTTTTTGTTTCAAAATAATTTAAGCCACTCAGGAATGAGGTTTTTTTTATACAACCAAACAATCAAAATTTTGAAACGAGTGCCCAGTGAATGCAGATCCTACTGATTCAATCATTTTACAGCTCTGTTACATGTGTATATCTTGATAACCGCTGCACCAATTTCTTCCAAACTTGGCACAGTTGTTAGTCTTGCTATAGCATACCAAATGAAAAGTTTTAAAATCGGACAATAACCACGGCCCACATCCCATATAACGGTAATATGGAGAAATATGAAATCTTCGATAAATCAGTAAATATCAAAGCTAATTTATTCAAAATTGATGCTTGCAAATATACTTTACCAAGAAATACGTTTATGATAAAATTTTGGAAAATGGGCGTGGCACCGCCCACTTATGATCACATATATGTATCTCGGTAACCGTTTTACCAATTTGTACCAAACTCGGTATGGTTATTGTGTTTGCCACACAAATGCAAAGCGTTGAAAATTATTGAAATCGGACTAAAATTGGGGCCGCTCTTCATATAACGGTAAATTTCAGAAATGCTTGAAACTTTAATATTTCAAAATTTAAGGACGCTAATTTACTCAAAATTAATACGCCCCGGCTTACCATGTAGCGGTAGCTTTCGGAAAGGTGAAAATCAAATATTTAATACTTGCGCCGGGTATGTATTTAATGTTCAGCTCCGCCCGAACTTAGGCTTTCCTAAACTTAACTTATAAACTAATTTTAATTTTTAGTGGTTTTGATAACAAAGCAAAAGAAGGTGTTCCAAATTAATCGCAAACGTAGTTGAGGAGTTAATATTAACATTACATAATAGAAATTTTCCTTTAATTTTTTTTTTTTTAATCTTTGAGTGGCACTTTTATGTATGGTTTAAATATTCTACTAATAGTTGTGATCCCGTACGTGTCCGGGGAAATCGATTCCGTACTCGGTTCTCTGACTACTGAGAGGAAAAGACAGTAAATAAGGACCTCTCTCTCTATCAAAAGTTACTAGTTTTAGTCCGAAAATTTTTTGCTGGTAAATTTGGATAAATGTGTCAAACGATCAGCTTTTGTCTGTTTGACAACCAAATTGTTAACAAAAGAAAAGTGCACGCTGCTAATACATATTGAAAAGCACTTAATTACTTGTTCAAGTGAATTCTAATGAATTTGAAAGTATTTATATAAGTGAGCTGAGCGTGTTTGCATACAAAATAAGGAAAAATTTACAACCAAAATTTGGAGGTTATGTTGAGGTTGTCCGAAGTGACAAGCTTTTACTAAAAAATGATACCGTATTTTTCAGTGTTACTCTCTAACTCTGAACGAATTTTTAATTTTTTGGCAGTTTTACTAGATTTAGTCCGAGGAATATAGCATTGGACCTATTCTTATAAGAAATTAATGAAGATAAAATAAACAAAAGGAAAACTGTAAATACTAAAGGGTGCGCTATTCAAATGACGAGGAGTGTACGTAGATACCTAAGGTGGTTTGTTTTTGGTTACTAATGAGTCGCGGTTGCCAGATGAAAAGAAGTACCCAAGCAACTTTGATTTGAGAAATCATATGATTCTTATTCGGTATTACCCAGTAGATAATTTATGTAGGCCTTGTTCTTAAAGGCTTACCAAAGAAGGGCTGAAAATAATTAATTCCCTGCATGCCTGCAAGAAGCTTTTCCTATTCACAATTTGTGCTAATGTGTAAGTTTATATTAAGGGTATTCAAATCAAACTCATTAATGTCATAAATTGTTATTTGTTAACTCGGTAACCCTTTTAACTTCGAATGCACCTAGCTCTTCCTTTTCGTAATTAAGACCCGATTTACATGATCCAAGCAATTCTTGTTCATTCTCTTTTGTTTCCTTCATTTGTTTTTACACGCTTCAATTTTAAAGTCGAAACGACTTAACGGTACAGACGCATGTGCACTCTTTCCTTTTCTTCTCACCACCTCGCTTCCACTTGCAAGCACAATTTAATTCAATACTTGAACCGTGTAAAACCAATCTAATTTTTTCGTCAAAAAATTACAGCACACAAGGGAAAGAAGGAAGTCAGCTGATGTTCTATTGACTGTCTCACTCAAATTATCAAGCTTGCGATTGATTTACTCGATAATTTAGTAAATTTACAACAAAAAATAATGGCGAAAATTATCGAATGCCGAATCAAGACATTAACGAGTTTGCTCTCAATACCCTTATTATTTAGCATTACAAATTAATTCAAAAATATGCATTTTAAATTGCAATAAAACTTATCTGATATGCACCTTAAATAATTAGCTATGTAAATAAGAATGTATGATTTTTATGAATTAAAGAAGCAGCTTTAGAAGAACTCCTCCAAAAAGCCTTCTGATGAGAATCGAAAGCAGAAACTCTTCAATTTGTGCTACTCCATAAAAAAAGAAGGAGAAAGGAATATAAAGGGGAAAGCACCTTGGCTCTCAGCAAGAACTTTTAGAAGAGCTTTTAGCTCCTCAAATTATCTACTGGGTAGTTCTCGTATTCGTATTTATTTGTATTGGCATTGGTAATCGTAATTACAATCGTAATCGTAACCATAATCATAATGGTAATGGCAATAGAGTAGTAATAGTAATGGTAATCGTAATAGTAATGGTAATGGTATTGTATTGTATTATTGTATTATTGTATTTGTTTGTATTTAATTATTGTACTATCATTGGTAATGATATTGGTAATAGTAATGGTAATGGTAATGATAGTGGTAAAAGTAATGGTTATGGTAATCGTAACAGTAATGGTAATCATAATCGTAATGTTAATGGT